CTATATCAATACAAGGTCAAAATTAATAATGTCACCTTTAAAAGTCACTTCTATAGTCTGTGATTTTCCTTTATTCATGTACATTCATAATGAGTCCATTACCTCCATGATAATTTATGATTTTTCTCTTAAAAGAGTTTAACTATCACTTTGCTACAGTCAGGATTTAATACTATCTAATGACATTAGCCAGAATAATTCTTTTAAATCATTGCAATATTGCCCTTCTCAAATAGAAGATAATTCCAAAATTCTCATGACTGCTAAGCAAATTTGCAATGATATAGTAAAGATGTAGGTAATTTCCTATTTCACAGATCCTACCCTCATACCTGCAGGGCATCTTTAACTGCCTATTGCTCTCTCCTGAGTGTAGCTGTTTATTTAGTGTTTCATTTATCAGCTATCCATGCACCTTGTTGGGGGCTTTTTCCAGCACAGATGAACAAGGAAGTGTGGGAGGGAGAAATCAGCTACAACGGAAGGGTTGAAATGCAAAATATTTTGAAGTCTCACTGCATTCTTTTCTGGGCTACTCAGAAGAAATGTGAATGACCTACATACTGTGCATATATATGAACTTATCAATTGGGTTAGAAAGGTTACATCTACAGTGGCCCAGCCCCGGTTCAAAAGCAGTTCAAAAAGAGCCCTCACGAAAAGAATCTCAGCCCTGCCTATTCACGCTAAAACAGAGCAATTTTTCTTTACAATTCGCTGTTCCATAGTTCACGTTCTCATCTCTCTTGGTATTCACTTCAGTGCTGGACCCAGTGCTTGTCATTCAAGTAAGGAAGGATCTTTGCAGATATGAAATGCAATGCAAATACCAAGCTTCACAATTTATTTTTTTTTACCAGCATTTTCATTTTAATTTAACTGCTTGGGTAATGAGTGGTTTAACCCCAAAATTATAGCAACTCTGAAAATAGCCTATAAAGTTTTATTCTGCCTATTAAGATTAGACTCATATTTTTTCTACTGGCCTTCAGTGTTGCACCAAAATAAAACAGATCTGGTGTTGCCACTACAGTTACCACAAACACATAAAAAATCATGCAAGGCCTAAGCACTGAGCAATATAAATCAGGATGCATAATTACACAGCAGCTGCTCACTGGCAGGAAGGAATCCTGTAAGCAAAATTTGGCCTGGTGATTTGGAATACGATTCAAACAGATGCCTACACTTCTCAAATGGCTAAGACTTAGTTTAATGTTAAAGCATAATATTAGCTAGATCCAAATCATCGTAACTCTTTACAATTTATTTTGTCTAGGATATGGAGTCATAAAAAATAACACTCAAGTGTCAACCCCCTTGTATTTCAAACCTGGTTTTGTTGTTGCCTCCACACTTGGGATCAGAAACAAAAGGTGTGTATATATCCAGAAGATGCTCTGGGAATGCAGATACTTCTCAGATATATATGTATCCAGCTTATAGGGGTGTCAAAGGGTTTTGGCACTGCCCAAAAACTCCTGAATTGCTTTTCTGCATGTAAGTGCCTGCTTCTCCCTTGAATGCCCAACATGCACCTCCAGCTCTTCTCCTGGTATCTAGCATGGGGTTCTGAGGCATAGTACTGCAAGAGGCCAGAAGCCTGAAAATGAGCAAAAATTAGCACCTAGCTTTCCATAAGGTTTTTTAGCCCTTTTATAGGATTTAGCCCTAGCTTTTCTAAAGCTCACTCATCAAAAGCAGTTTTTGAAAATGGGATGTGGCTGTTTGAAAATCTTCGACATTACTAAGGTCAGGGAGACTTCTGCTCTAAGGGTGCTGAAAGCTTTAGAAGGAAACCACAGGAGCACAGGGGGAAAGTGCTTTAAATACCCAGCCCTGTTTTCAGTTACCAGCATGAGCACCCTTTCAGGGAGAACAAGTAACTTCCTTTGCCAGAGCTGTTCCAAACAGCCCATAGCCTCTTCCAGAACCGACCTTCCCACAGGGAAGAGGGCACCTGCAGGATGTCCCCATCTGGGTCACAACCATCTCCTGCACCAAACAGTGCAGAGGGCTCTACATTGATGGGCAGCTGGACTGGGTGACCTTCTGCACTCCCTCCAAGCCTGTATTGTAAAAGGAGCTGGAAATGAGCTTGTTGATTTATATATATATATATATATATATGTGTGTGTGTGTGTGTGTGTGTGTGTGTGTGTGTGAATACTATATCCTGTATTGTAAAAGGAGCTGGAAATAAGCTTGTTGATTTATATGTGTGTGTGTGTGTGTGTGTGTTCAAGATATTGCCACCCGACTGAGCAGGGAGGATGGGGGAAGGGAGCTGATCTCAATATCAGAACCTGGGATCCATCAGATCCCAGGATGCAGACATGCAGACACATGGGTAAGCAGGGTAGCGCACTCTTCCAGATAATGACAACAATCTTTTTAATGTATTAAAAATTCAGCCAGAAAGGTGGTAAAGCAGATTTGGGGGGGTGGGGGGGCAGGAAGGAAAGATCAAAATAATAATAGTTTCAAAGCACTGTACTTATTTTAGACATTCTTACAGCATGTTTCCATAGGAACTGGAACGCAAAGGAGCACACTGCAGCAGTGTTCACAAATGTTGTGTGGTTTGGGGGCTTGCAAAGGATCCGTTAAGGGCACCGTGACCACTCAGAGTCCCGGGCACCTGCTGCCTTCGCTGTACAACAGGATATTTTGCAAAATCTAGGAAAATAACCTTTTTTGCAATTTTGTTTTCCTGTCATCCTGCAAGCATGGCTGCGTTCACATCCATGTGTAGCCTCATTCCTGAGCCCTCCCCACCCAGATCCACCCCATGTGGGGCATGAAGACAGCAGTGTTTAACCCAGATTGTTTGGTTGCTGTGTCCTAAGGAGTAGCAGGTGGGTCTGGTTTTTTACCCAGCTTTAGTACCCACCTGCTGAGTGACCTTGTGCAAGTCACCTCAGGTCAGATCTGCTCCATCTGTCAGCTGCCTGAAATGCATCTCACCCAGCTCTGCAGGTGAGCACTTCTCTGGCCAACTGGACAGCTTTTGTCCTGCCTGAGACACACCATGGACAGGTCTCTTGTTCCCAAAGCACCCACCTGGTCACATCCATACACTAAGCCCTTTGCCCACATGTCAATGTGCCACGTGGCAACTGATTATTTTCTCCATTCAAAATTGCCCACTACAAAGTGAGGTCTGTGCTGCAGCTCACCAGAGCAGCATTTAACTGCATGAAGTGAGTGTTGCATGTCTTGGAGCAAGGCATGGGCACAGGGGTGCTTTTGGAAACCTTGCTGGTGAGACAGCACTGGAGGATATTTATGATGTGGGGAGCCAGACCTGGTGTAGCATCACCCCTAACTCGTCCTGTGTCAGCCCCCTCCATAAGCTGTCCTCAAAATTAAAACAGGTTCTTTCTCAGAGGAAAGTAATTAGTTGTCTCCAAAAAGCAGCACTAGAAGCAAAGAAACCCAGGCAACAAGATAAAATCCAGGCAACAAGAACCTGGGACTGAGCAGCAGAATGGAGCTATTTAACTGCATTTCTCAAAGAAAACAAAGATGCTCCAGAGTGTGAACTGTGCACCTTACCCTGTGGTGGTGAGCCTAAACAACCAGTTTAACTTCAGATGGTGAAAATGGGACAAAATTCCTCCCACGTCTTGTGCTGTCATTCCTCAACGCACACAACAGTTCAGTGGCAACAATCCCATCTGTAAAGGATTTTCTCACCAACTTGTGACAAGGGCTGTGTAAGCACTGGTTACTGGTACTCATGGATTGAGAAAAAAATAGAACTTTGTTACTTATGGATTTGAAAACCTCCTAATATTAATATATATTGAGACCTGTCTCACTCATACAAGTAAAGGTGGATAATTTTTAACAACCAGGGCAAAACACATTCTTCCTTGGACTTGCCAGGTTTAACATCACATTCCAGTAAGAAACTAAGCCAAAATGTGGCCAAATGTCTCTGTCCAGAAGTATCATCCAAACCATAGCCAGCAGAATCACAGAGAATCACAGAAATTGGAAGGGACCCACAAGGATCATCGAGTCCAACTCTTGGCCCTTCACAGGACTTCTCAGCCCAAATGCTCCATCACTTGTAACCACCTACAAATCTATTTAATATTTATGCTGTTGTGGAAGTGCAAAATCTATTTTTAAAGCTGCATTTTGTAAATTAATTCAGTGGTTGCCTACATCACAGAGGTATTTTATAAACACTATTACAAAAACATATCAATTTAGATATTTAGATACTCCACATACTGCAATGCTTCTTTCTCATCAAAACAACTTCCACTGTACATATTGCCATAGGAATTCATATTTAATTACAGATTTAACAAAGAAATATAGATGTAGGATGTCTGAACCCAGGTCTCATCTCAAATGTTACAATGACAGTTTCAGTCAGTGTAAGGATAGAAGTGTCTGGGAAGCCTTGACAGCCTCACACTGAAATTCTGTGTTTAAAATCTGATTTCTTAAAAGAAGAAAATTCTGAGCATTCAATCTTTTCACACTTATCCAACAAAGTAAATTTGGGAAGGTGCATTGAAACTTTCACTTTGTCTCCACCTTGTATTTTAAGGATAAAAAGCAGTATGTTACAAATATAGATATTTATGCTTTTTTGCCTGTGAAGTCATATACTGATATAGCTTTTAATGTAAATTTTCAAATCTGAGTGAAATTTAATTACTTAAACCAGTGCTGTAACAAAGACACTAAAGCAAGATGTAAATTTTGCACACCTGCATGTATTTGCACAACTCCAGATGCAAGCACTGAGATTCCCAGTGGGGAGTAAAGTCACAAGCCACAGCGAGATGGACTAAACACAGAGAACAGTCTGCTTCACAGCCCAAACTAAACAAAACAACACATATAGCTGCAGAGAGTATATAGATAGTGTAGAGATTAGGATTTCTGCTACTGCTATTTTTACCTTGGATAACTCAGTCTATAATAAAGAAGAATACAGTGTCCTGCACTGGACAAGCTGGCTGCTGAGAACTCACCCAAGCGTTCAGCTTTCTGCTCTGGGTCCCCTGGTGGGCAAGACAGATCCAGATCTTCTCTCTCGCATCCAAACTTTGTTTGTTTTTACCCGAGACCACATCTCACTCCGAGAAACCATCGCTTTCAAAAAAGAGCAGAGTGAGCCCAGCAAGGGTCAGGCTGCAGGACTTCTCTAGGGGCTAAGAACAAGCAGAGATCTGCCAATCTGGCCACCCACTCCAGAAAGCATTTCTCCAGCTTAGCTTTCCCACCGTAAATTCTTCATGCAGAGAAACAATTAAAAATAAAATTAAAAAAACAATCCAGTCATTTATCCTCCAGGCTGGAGAGAAGGAAAGAGGCTGCCACAGCAGTGCCTGTTTTGAATGCTTGGCAGGTACACAAGCACAAGAGGGATGATGCTATAGATAAGCATAGACAGAAATAGCTAGAAGGATGAGCTGGCTCAGGGTAGCAGTGGTGAAAGGCAGCAATCCCCCTTCTCCTTTTCCTGTTGTATGAAAACTAGCAGCTGACCCGCAGACTCACCCTGAGTGTTGGCAGGAGAGGGTCCCTCCAGGCTCTGAGCCTCACACTGGAAATATCCTCCTTGCACAGATCCCCTTCCCCATCTTGAATATAAGCTTTGAAGGCTGCATCTTCTCAGCCTGCTTCTGACTCAGAACTCAGACTGCTTGCTGCCTGTCGGGGGTTTTGGTGCTGTTCCCAGAATCCTGCCAGGAAGCTGCAGCTGACAGATCCCCCTGCGCCAGCAGGAAAATCCAGTAACTGAGGCTCAGAAAATACTGCCAAAGCACCAAACTGAAGTATCTGGGAGCCACCTCATCTCTCCCCCATGAGCAGCCTCACACAGCTCTCCCTACTGCTCATACCAGCCCACAAAGAGACAGAGATGTCACCTGGCACTTATGCAATTCTGCTGCAAAAATACAAAACAGTTAAATGCCAGAGTTTCACCCAGCTGCCACCATTTAATCACCATTTCTTCCCTGCTCCTTTTCTGTATGGCAACAAATTCTAATTTTCTTCTAAAATTGGAAAACAGTCTCACCTGAATGTGCCTGCACTCGGGAAGAAGAAGGATTAAAAATCCTGCTTTTTAAAGCTGCTTGAGCAGGAAAAGATTAGTCACTCCCTACTTTACCCTGTGCAGTATCAATACCCAGGAACCCAGATCCTTGGCTGTCAGTATGATGGGACACCAGAGAAACAGTATGATGGGACACAAGAGAAAATGGCTTGGAAAGGGTTGAGATGGGCAAGGGCACTGAGCTCAGCTAGAGGTGGCAGTCTGGGAAGGGAGACAGTCCTCCTCAATCTGAGAAAACTGAGGAGGGGAGTAAAAAAAGGCGAGAGTCATGAGCATTGGCACTGTGGTTTCACTGGTGCGGAGCAAGGGTGATTGAGGGCATGACAAGGTGTGCACCAGAGAAGGGATAAACTACAGAAGACTAGGAGTGGGTCACAGACAAGTGAAACTATGCAATACAGCAGAATTCACGAGTGGGGCAAGCAGCCAGGAATGTGAGAACACAACAGAAGGAGGGAACAGGCATGGGAAGAAAGTGATGTCATGAGAAATGGAAAGAGAAGAATGATCTGAGAAACAAACTAAAACCTCAGTCCTTAGAAAGAAAATAAGGAAAAATAAATGACAAACTAACACCCAACCTAATTTTAAATAATTTTGTTAATCTCTTGAGCCTGAAAACATCACATTCTGACACCTGTTCTGATTCCCTTGTTACCGCTGGGGGATACAGTAGTTCAACCACTGAACCATGCTCCTGTGCCCAGCAGGGAATGTCCTGAGGGACTTTCCTCACCTCCTTCAGAGCAAGGGGACAGAGCACCTCTAGCCCAGTGTTGGTGGCAGGGCAGACAGGAGCCACACCACCACAGAGCTCTTCACCTCCCATGCCACCACTACATCAGCCTAGTGGAGGGGCACGTCCAGATGTGGGATCAAATGCTGCCTTGCTCACCAGCTGCCAGCACTGCCAGCTCAGGCTGCTGAGGAAACCTCATAGGCTACAGCTATCCCATTCAATTAGTCATTCTCAAGTAGCTTCCTGGGAATAAGGTCACCTTCCAAGATATGACTGAAATGGGTGACTGCATGCAGCTGCCTGATGGGGACATGCCCTGACCCTCCAACTCCTGGGAGGATAGGCCTGGGAGCCCACTCGGGGAAAGTTGCCTGGCAGGGGTCTAATTCAGGCCAGGAACTGCTCCAGCAGCTTCCCAGGGTCAGCAGACAGGCTCTCCTTGGGTCCTGGCAGTGCCCTTTGCTAACAGAGACAAACCTGTAGTTTAACATAATACTGCAGTTGGTCAGATAAAACCAATTATTTTTTCAACCCACTGCATTTGTCTTGACTACCCTAGAAAATCAGAAAAAAATAGGATGTTTGTCATGGTAGGAAAACTCAAGAACCTTAAATAAATGGCTTTTGAGATAGGGCTGATAAAGAAAAACCTTAGGTTCAGAAGATAAAACCTACAAGTGACAGCAGAGATACAAATGGAAGCTTAAATTTGACATGCAAAAAAAGCCAACAGCAAGCTTTAAATAATCTGTGCCCAGGCAGAGTCTTCAGGAACATTTATTTACTGTTTTCCATGAAGGAAACCATTAATGTTAGAAAAATTACTGCCCATTTTTTTGATTATGTTGTTTTGTTGGATAAGAACCAATGCTGCCTGACAGTGCTTCGGCAGTAGTACTAGAGCACTAGAGCAACCACTGTAGTTTAAATTAAAGCTTTTCAAACTCATTAAACAAAGTATATGTGGACCATTAAAATAAAAAGGGCATTTCAAAAATTCACAGGGTGCAAACTGTTCCTTTCTAAATCATTCCTACCAGCTAGGGTTACCTGCTTTCAGATTAATGGAGAAGTAAGCCTGAAAAGCAGGTAACCGTGACCTAAAGAAACTAAGAGTGAAATGTTTCAGCAGTTGATTGGAATAAGTACTTTGTACCAAGCTGCTGATGATTTCAGACCTGCCCTGTGTTTTTTGCACTACTTTCACAATAAGGTGAACTGTTACCACGTGTTCTTTGTCAAAGAGAACATAGTTGAAGTATTTACAGTTTGATATTTACCATTTAAATGATGGGTAAGAAAACAAGAACAGTAACAGATGGGGTTCTTTTAACTGAATTTAAGTTGTTTAGAGCTATTTCTGGGTTAAAAAAAAAAAAAACACAAACCAACACACACACCAAAAAGCAAACACAATATGCCTTCCTGCTGCATATTATTCCTCTGAGATTTAACATCTACATTTGTAGCAATAAAAGTGAATTGGAGTCCAGTTTTCAAAGTATATGATTGATACAATTTAGTGCCCAATTTTTAACTTGCAAAGGTGTTGTAGGAGCGGTTTTATTTGCCAAGAGTCCCTAAATATTACTTTATATTTTCACTGGGATATGGATGCTGATTATTTTCACAGCTAAAAACCTGGCTGGTATGTTTGCTCTTCCTCACCAGCACCCCAAGTGAAAAAACTGTCTTAAGGTCTTTATTCCACTAGGAATAAACACTTTTGAAAACTAACTGGAATCTCCTTATAGGCAACAATACACATAGAGCATATTTCCCAGTATAGTTTTAGGAGGACACTCTTCCCCCTGAATTATCATTATATAAGCTCTTGCACAAAGACCACTATTAGGAAATAAACCAGTGACAGATACCAGCACCCCTCATCAGTCAAGCCAGCAACAGCCAGAAAAACATACAAACCCTTTTGCAACCAAAAAGGGATATCCCCAAAAATCAGATGCAAGAATACCATGAACCTAAGCAGATCACAAGAGTAGATGCAACACCTCTAGAAATAAAAAATTAAATGTTTTCTTTCTCTACAAAGAACTTGCATGTCAAGCATGTTGTCCTGGTTGTGGCTTGTAGAGTTAATTCTCTTCACAGAAGCTGCTAAGTGGACTGTGTTTTGGATTTGTGCTGGGGAGAACAAAGTGTTGGTAATCCAGGGATGTTTTGGTTGGCCCTGCTGAGCAGGGCTTACACAGGGTCAAGGCCTTTTCTGCCTCACCCCACCCCACCAGCCAGTGGGCTGGGGGTGCACAAGGAGCTGGGAGGGGACACAGCAGGGACAGCTGACCCCAGCTGACCAACGGGGTATCCCTGAGCACGTGGTGTCATGCTCAGCATGTAAAGCTGGAGGAAGAAGGGGGGAATATTTGGAGTGATGGGGTTTGTCTTCCCAAGTCTCAGTTCTGTGTGATGGGCCCCTGCTCTCCTGGAAATGGCTGAATATCAGCCTGCCCATGGGAAATGATGATTTTAATTTCTCTTTTTCCTTTGCTTGCATGAACAGCTCTCGCTTTCCATATCAAACTGTCTTTATCTCAACCCACAAGTTCTCTCATTTTTACTCTTCAAATTCTCTCCCCAATCCTGCTGGTGGGGAATGGATGAGGGGCTGACTACGGGCTAAACCATGACAAAAAAAATATTAAATTCTACCACTTAAAGGAGGTTTTTGGGTTGTGTTGTTTGGGTTTTTTAAATCATAGCTTCTGAAAAAATGTCATTACTGATTTGCTTCAGAAATAAACATATTTTAGCTTAACAGATTTATGTATTTATCCTTTGTCTAAACTGAAAGCATTCACATTCAGTTACTGTGTAGCAGAGCCTGTACAAGCAGCAAGTTAAGATCACCATCAGAATCAGTTTTCCTCTGACATCAATACATGGTTTCCATTACAGAATAGGAACTGTCTAGGAGAGAAGTTTCTAATTGTCCATACTACACTTTAGCATGCAATTGTAGAATAGCTTTTTGGGGGTGGATTTTTTTTGCTTGCTTTTAGTGTTTGTATGATTGACCATGTTGAAATCATAGAGATGAAAATCCTTGAGCTGTAAAATTGTCAAAGCTGCCCTCAGCCATTGTGAGGTCCAGAAGTAATCTTTGATTTCTCCAAACACATTCATCTCTATCTTTTCTGAGGAACCTGCTAACTAGGGTTAGCTTACTGTCTGCCTTCTACTGTATTAAAATGCTCATCACTGGGGTGTTCCATGCTTTAATCATCTTTCTGTAAAGGAATTTGAAGGTGTTGTACAGCAGTAAAGCACATTCTCAGATCAGAGCTGAAGCCCATCTGGCTTCTCACCCTATTTCCAGTACCAGTATGAACCATACTTCATAGGATGACATAAGAGTAATGCAGAGAGCATAGAAGGAACAAACATTCCCCTCCTCTATGACCCCATAGCCTCAGATCCAGCTATTACAGACCAAATGAGCTTTTACATGTAAAGGTTTACTTTATGTCCAAGTACATCCTAAATTACTGCAGTTTATATGCATGACCTGTCTCCTTTTCAACTTCCTGGCCAGTTTCAAGCAACTGTGGTGGAAGTGCTGAATTCCCACAAGTTTTGTGAAAGTTGGTGATCAGGGAGTAGAGCTGAGGAAAGCAGCTTTCACTTCATGTGACAACAGGAAGTCTTCATTGGAAAATTTTTCCTTCATGATAAGAAAGCTGCAACTGGAATAAGTATTTTATGATACACCAAGGAATTGATCTCTTCATCACGGTTTCTCTCCCATGGTGACTGTCTGTTGTCTAATGAGGTGCTACAGTGACTGATGTTTCCACAGCAATTCCAG